GAGAGAGAGAGAAGCGAAAAGAGAGAGATTCCAGGCAACCAGCCTTTACAGAGTCCTATTTGCCTTAAGTAATTGATCTGAAACTGAAGCATTTGTCTCTAAAGGCTATCTGGGCTTCACAAATCCTCAAGGGACTTTGTCTTCCTCTAACTTTTCAGGGTTTAGCCAGGCTTTATTTGTTACTGTTTGTTGTCAGAGGAAATGTGGGATTTTATAGCCCTGTGTCTACCCTTTGATATGGAAGACTGAATATAGCACACATGATCTAAATATTATGGAAAAACCCATTTTTGCCACTAATGCTTAAAAATTTTAATGATGATCTTCAATGGATTTAATTATCTAAATCTCATGGCTTATGCTGTTAGTCATGTTAATAATTCTAGGTAAAATGAAATGTATGAGTTGGTATCATACTTTTGAAGAATCAAATATCAAGGAAAGAAAGACATTGCAAATGTTCACAATGTCATATGTGAGAAAATTTTTGGCTGACTTGGAAAATTTAAATCAATATATTGAGGAAGCAACTTAGTGAGTTATGTTTACATGGGAACCTGAAACTAGGATTTGAGTCAGTAAAATTTTTCCAAAGGGAATAGAGGAGTCTGAATCCTAGAAATTTTCCTGAATAATATGGCCCCATGTTGCAAGATTTGGATATTTATAACCCCAAATAAAAGGGATTTTGGAGGACAGTCTCTTCAGGTTTTTGCAGTTTTAAGACTCTGATTCCATTCCACAAAAACTGTAGGAAAACTTACTTTATCACTGCCTGACTGTTATAAAATGAATGCTTGTCCATGAGTTAGCTCATTAAAGATAATATATGAAAAAAGTACTGAGAAATACTGTATAAATCTCTACAAAACTCTCCTTTCATGAAACTTTGTTTTTTAGAAATGACACACTATAAAGAAATTAATTTTAATTTTCTGAATTCTAAAAATAGTATCAAGACAAGAATCGTCAGTGTACACACATGTGGAACTAGAGAGCCAGTGGAAGTTTGGTGGATATTAAGGACCTTTGGTGAAGTAATTTACTTACCTATTGATTTTTGTGTTATTTTTCTAAGTACTTGTCTCACTAAGATTTAAAAGTATGTAATGTAAATATTTTAACATTTCAATGGCACGTGTTTGCTCCATAAAATTAATATATTGTAGAAATCTATAGAGAAAGATGGGATCTTAGTGGTCATGTACTCTAAAGATTTGAATTATACCAGGTAAGGAAGCAGATCCATAAGTGACTTTCAGTTCAGTCACCCAGTCATGTCCGACACTTTGCAAACCCATGGACTGCAGCACTCCAGGCCTCCCTGTCCATCACCAACTCCTGGAGATTACTCGAACCCATGTCCATTGTGTCGGTAATGCCATCCNACTCTGCATATGAGTTAAATAAGCAGGGTGACAATATACAGCCTTGATGTACTCCTTTTCCTATCTGGAACCAGTCTGTTGTTCCATGTCCAGTTCTAACTGTTGCTTCTTGACCTGCATACAGATTTCTCAGGAGGCTGGTCAGGTGGTCTGGTATCCTCATACCTTTCAGAATTACTTCTGCCTATACCTTCATGCATGAACTAGGGCACGAGACTAGGGCAAGAACTACAATATGATCACACCTAGTCTGGTACAGGTCCTCTTGTCTACACTGCACTAGCCTTATATCTAACTGAGTAGTTTTAAAACTTTGTAGATGTTTGATTGTAAATTAGTGTTTTATGTCTTTATATGATAACGTAATCAGAAACCATACAACACTCAGCTTCAGACATTCTCTCAGAATATAAGCCTTTTTTTTTCTTGACCAGTGGAATTTTTTCTTCAATAAGGAATAAAGTAGAAAATCCTATGCTGTAATTCAAGGACATCACATTTCAAAAAATAGAGTTAATTAAGTTGGAGACATTAGTTTACCTGTGCTGTGCTTAGTCATGTCTTTGTGACTTCCTTGAGCGTAGCCTGCCAGGCTCCTCCGTCGGTGGCATTCTTCCCAACCTAGGGGATCAAACCCAGGTCTGCTGCCTTGCAGGCAAATTCTCTTCTGTCTGAGCCACCAGGAAGCCCAGTTTATCTGTGATTAAGTTTTAATTAATGCCCTTAACTTAGATCCCAGCAGCTGTAAAATAATCCTCTTAGCTTGGGCTCAGTCGTGTCTGACTCTTTGCGGTCCCATGGACTGTAGCCCACCAGGCTCCTCCGTCCATGGGATTTTACAGGCAAGAATACTGGAGTGGGTTGCCATTTCCTTCTCCAGGAGATCTTCCCAAGCTAGGGATTGAACCCGGGTCTCCCGCATTATAGGCAGATGGTTTACCCTCTGCATCTCCAGACTAGATAAAGACCCACCAAAAAGACAAAGACTCAAATTAAATCAAAGAAGCTTTCCTTTAAAATATGATGTATGCACACAAATGCACATTATACATGAAACATAAAATTTATGTCTTGAATTGTGACCCAAGTGGATTTTATAGTGAATACTGATAATGGATGCAAATTGAACAGCTTAATTCAATCAAATAAGTAATCTTAAGTAGAATTAGGATAACTCCCTTGTCCTATGTGGCAGAAATCTTTGTATATAACTCAATTCCTGCAAGTCAGTTGTTCAATATAGAAACAAATGCAAAGGATGAAACATCGAAGTAATGAACAGAAGAGCAAAATATAAGGACAAAAACACTTTTTGAATAATAGAGCACCCTTTCTCCCAAAACATTATATGTAAGGGAAAATCTGTATTGTCAGATTTAAAGGCTAAATTGCCCAATAGCTATTTTACTACTGTTTCATTAAAAATTTTGTTTTGCACTTTTACAACTAGCAGAATTATTCCTATATTTTAATAGGAATTTTAGGTCTAACACACTCTAATAGATCACTCATAATATGTGCTTTATTACCTGTTGTTGAAAAGCAACTTTCCTCTCCATTCAAATACTACTTTTCTCTGTAGAGAAAGTCATTTTATTCTCTAATCTACTCAAATTTGGTGAACCTGGCTGTCTTAAAAAAAAAATAAAAAGTATATCTTAAAGGCACTATTGTTATAATTAATGCTTAGGACAAGTGTGACAATGCAGACCTTAGGAACCAACAAGGCAGGATAAAAACATTGTTTTATCCTACAACATTTCCTCAGCTGTGTGTATATATGTGTGCGTGCGCGCTTAAGTGTTGACTATTTGCGACACCATGGACTGTAGCCTGCCAGGCTGCTCTGTCCGTGGAATTTTCCAGGCAAGAATTCTGGAGCAGGTCGCGATTTCCTACTCCAGAGGATCTGACCCCCATCAGGGATCAAACCCAGGGTCATCTCTTGAGTTTGCTAGGAGGTGGCTTGTTCTTGGACTAAGTAACTCAGACAAGGATGGAGTTGGTCCTTAGCTAATAAAACAGGACTCGAGGCGACTCCTCTCCCCTCCCCCACGCATTTTCTAGGTCCCTTCTGCCGAAACCTCACAGCTTGTCTGCTGAACCCTGTAGTACCAGATAGTTGACTCCTCCCTTCCAGTCTCCGGCGAGAAATCTCAACAACCAGTGCTAGAGACTCGGGGGCCTATTGTTGCCCACCTGCTCTGGGTGGGTCCTTTCCACCATCCCGGGAAATCCGCGTGCTAGAGCGTTTGGATGAAGCTGGCGCACTTGGGTTTATTACATCCACAGGGATTCGGCTCCAAAAAGCTAGATTGACTCAATGTTTTGCATGCACGGTCCAGGCTCCCAGTACTCACTACAACGTAAACTTTGGAAGGGAGAGAGTTGTGTTGAGGAAGGGTACTGTGTAAAGGGCTTAAAATGTGAGGATCTGTCTTCGTGTCCAGAGAAAGAGAGAGAGAGAGAAAAGTATGAGTACCAGAGTATCGTTATTTTATTCAACCTTTAGGAATTCCACTGGCATTATTAACCAACTAGCCGGGGAATCCAGGCTGGAGGCTAAAGGATCCCCGTCTGTTGACTCAAATCAGAAGACGGTCATAATCAGTCCACGACCACCTCTGGGGTCCCGATAGGTGCTGGTGCCCAGGATGGGGCTCCGGACCGCCAGGACCCCTCTGCCCGCTGGCTCCTCGGAGCGCTGGAGCATGCCCAGTAACATCGCTGGAGCCGCCGAGGGCTTTGCAGGCGCGCGCTCCGCTTCTCCGGGTTTTAGCAGGAGCCCGCGGGGGGCGGGCGGGGGTGAGGGGACCCGCGGAGCCGGGCAGCCTCCGCCGCGCGTGTGGAGAGCTCGCGCCAGGCGCAGTGCTCTCGGCCGCTTTGCAGTTGCTCCAGAGATGCTGGCGCGCGGCTCCCGGCTGCTCCACCTGGCGCGCTGAGCTCGGCGCGGGGCGCCCCCGGGGGCTGGCGGGGGGCGCAGACTGCGGTGGAAGGCGAGCCGGGCTCCTCCGGGACTGCGAGACCACGCTCCAGCGCTGGCCGCTCCACTAACTTGGCACTTGGCGGTGTCGGCTCTCCAAGGCCGTCTGCGCTTTGGGGTAGCGGGGTGGAGGTGGGGGGCGGGGGGAGTGGGGAGTTAGAGGGTCTGCGGTGGCCGAAGGAGGGGTCCTGCAAGGGGGAGCTCGCCTGCTGCCGCTCCTCTTCCCCTCCCCATCGCTGCCCTCCCCCCACCCCGTCGCCGCCGCTTTGCCTTCCGCCAATTCGGAGAGCCTCGGGAGCCTGTGACATGCGATCCCTGCCAAGTGACGGTCCCCGAGTCTGAAGTGCCCGCGAGGAAGTGAGCGCCGCCGCGGGCCGCGGGCGATGACCGCCATGAAGCAGGAGCAACAGCCCACCCCGGGGGCCAGGGCGAGCCCGGCGCAGCCGGCGGACCAGGTGAGAGCTGGCAGCTGCGGCCAGGCCCTCCCAGGAAGGGAGGCTCCCGCCCGCGCGGCCCCCGCCCCTCCGCCCGGGCTCGGCTCCCACGCCTCCTTCTCCCCATCCACCCCCGCCCCGGTTCCAGGCTCTCTCAGCTCCTCCATGGACTCTGCAGGAAGTTAGAGCCTCCGAGTGCGCTCCGGGGCCGGGCGAGAGGATGCGCAAGGTGGAGAGCCGCGGGGAAGGGGGCCGCGAGGTAAAGGCTGGCGTGGCCTGGGCGACCCCGCGGGCGGGCCCCCGACGGAGGGAGAGGTGGCCGGGGCCAAGAAATGGGGACCTCTTGGCTCCTACCGAGGCACGTTGGAGGAATTGCTGCTCTCCTGGAGGCTTCCACTTGCTGGGTTCGAACCCTGTTTTCACGTAGCTGAGACCAAAGCTTACCCGAGTAGGCAGATGACCTTTAGGCCATCAGAGTTTTTTGCTAGAAGTGGACGAAGTGGGTGCAGACAGCGAGGCTACAGGAGGGCTCGGCTCTTCGCATATTCTAAGCATTGAGGAGTTAGTGAAGGCGAGCTGTCGGCTCAGAGTGGCGGGAGGCAGAGGGGGCGACTCCAGGGCTGCCCTTATTAATATTCTAGTCCTGGTTGTCGCTCCTGGCTCGTGGCCTCTCTTTCGCCCTTCCCTCCCCTTCTCGTTTTGCTCACATATGTTTCACATAGATGGTGAGGATTACTCAAAAGACTTAAAGCCCCCTCCCTTTACTGAGAGGGATGATACAGTTTTTATAAAGCAGTTGTTTTCTTAAACTATTCTTTCTGCTCCTTACCCTGAGAAAAGTATGAAAATATTAAAACATGTATATAACTTGTCCTTTCTCCTTGTATCTCTTTTCCCTGCTCCCTCCAGCACACATCACAAGGTAGCAACTGGTTAACTGATTATAAAAATAATTTCAGGAGAGGAGCATGGATTTAACATCCTCTTTCAGGCTGGCAGCTCTTAAATTTCATTAACAAGCCACTGAGCCTCTCTACTGCACTTGGAATGATACTACCAATAAGAATGATTAGTCAGGTGAGAGTCTCCACATGAAATCTTTACTCACTAATCTGTGACACCAGCTGGTTACTTGAGGCTCTGCAAACAGTTCAGTGATGGTGGAGGTGGGGAGGAAGAAGAAGAGGATACAGAAGCTGAAAATGTTTATGTAAATAGTGAACAAGCTGTATATCCACAGCAAAGCCTTCTGTCAGAACTAATCTGGTACTTAAAATTCGCATGAAGACAGAGACTCAAGCTTGAATCCATTGTTGGTGTGCGTTTTTGCTTATGCACACTTCGAATAGTCAGGGAGTGGCCATTTGTAGAAGTCTTGTTTTAATTGAGTTTTTTTAAGTGCCTTTCTGAGCACTGACATGATTTTACAATGTCAATGGTATGCATATTACACTTGAGTTAAAATGAAAGAGATTGATTTCTCAAGGGAAAGGAAAGGAAGACTGAAGTATACATGGCAGCATCCCACTGGGAGTTTTCCAGGCAATCCCAGAAAATACCTATGTGTAGTCTATTCTTTGTCTAAAGCTTGACATACAAAATGATGAGCAGATGATGTGGACAATTTCTGTGATAGCTTAAACTATTTCTTTTAAGATTCTAGGTTTTTTATTAGTAGTATTAGTCATTGTGATTTAATTCTGCAGTTGTTAGGTAACTGTCATGTGGTCCTAGATATAATACCTCCATATAGACAGGGTCGATTGTTCAAATTTCTGCGATATTTCTGGGAAAAAAAAAAGATTCACAAATTTATCTAAAAATGTAGCTTTATGATATCCTACTTAATGGTTAAATAGGGGATGTGTTCCAGTAAGTCACTTGCTAGGTGTTGATTTTGAGTGATTTAAGTTTTTGAATATTGCCAGAAAGGCCTTTCACTTTTTGTGATAGTGATTATTATGAAACCTCAAAGATGCCTTGTCCAGAGGCCATCAAACACCCATTTTCACCAACAGCATCATGGAAGACCAGAGTCTTTCTTCTTAGAGAGATGGTTATGAACTACATAATTTGCTTGCTGTTGTGGCCTTTTAGAGAGTTCAACATCCCTATTACATCTTATCTAGTACTGTCTTCTAGTATAGGGTGCCATGACCAGACGTAGCCGCTCCTCTGGGAGCAGCTGCAACAAGAATAACAGGGACTGCATATTTTTATTACTGTTCTGAATCATTGGAGATATTTTTTTTATCATCTCAGTAGTCTTGCCTTTAAAGCTTCATTGATTAAATAAATGTTTACAGCAGTTACTTCTGTTGTTTTCATAACACTCCACATTTACAAAATGTCTAAAAATAAACGCTTAGCTATGGGTAGAAGCAGTCATTCCCACTTAACGTAATCAATATCCATTTTACATCAGGGAATACATAATCTTGAGTGGCTAGTTGTAACTTATTATTAGATTTGGAAATCACTTCCTGTGTGCTTGCCATGTGCTGAGTACTGTCCTCTGGGTTGATAAGGTAGCCCTCACTGAATGCATTTTTCTACTTGATCCTCAAAGCTGACACTTTTTGAAAGTTAGGTTTTGTCATTATTCCTAGTTCAGGGATGAGAAAACAGAGGATTCTCTCAAGTAACTGAACAACTTGATCAACCTTGTCTTCATAAGTGGTGGAGATGAGACATAGTCCTAGTCTATGGCATTTAAAAAAATAAGCTCTTTTAAGTCTAAAGCTCCATCTTCTAACCTTTACACAATTACAGTTCAACACCCTTCTACTGGCATAATGTAGAAGAATTGCAAATATTATGTATGCATGCATGTGTACAAATTTACCTTGAATATAAAATGGGAAAAGGTTGTGTCTAACTCTTCAACTGTAAATGTAAATAATAAATCTTGAAATTGAAAAATTAGGTTAGTATCTCTAAAAATAATATAAAACCATATATATCCTGATAAGTACATAGGAACTTAAAAAAAAAAATTTCTATCATTTGCCCTTGGTAGTGATAAGACTTTCAGGGTTTCTTAAACAAGTTCCTTTCTATAGTTAGACCTGGTTTAGAGTTTGCTCACGTTGCCACCAGGTGGCACCCTTCTGCTGAGTCCAATGGGTAAAAATATTTCCTAAAATGTTTGACAGTTCTCTAAGCTCCAAAAAACCAAACCCAACAACAAAAAAGCAAACAAACAAACAAAGAAATTAAACAAGAAAAAACGATAACCTTACCTTCTGAAGTATGACTAAAAAGTGTATTTTTATAAACAACTGTTTGGCTGCAGAAGCAGCATTAGTTATGCATAAAAATCAACAACAACCGTAAAACTCAACCTAGTAGAAATCCACTGTCTTACTCTCTTACATAGCAGCCTATTAATGAAATGGTTCATGAACAAAATTGGAGTTAAATAGATAATACATAAAATGCCTTTTGTAAAATATTAGGGTACTTTTGACTTTTAGGTGATATTAACCTAAAGTTTTCACAAGGAAATTAGGATCCAGTATTTTTACTTCAACTTTGGTCTAGCACACCTGATTAAAAATTTCAAATGAATACTTAATGAATTCATAAAAAAGTTATTCTTCCATGTTTCCCTAATACATAAACATCTCATAATTTAGTTTATATTGTTTTTAACACAGAACTTCAAAGAAAGCTTTTAGAGATCATGTTAAGAAACTTTAATAGAAAATGTATTACTTCTCAACATTCAATATAAAATACATAGTATCATATTGGTGGAAGAATTCTATATCATTTGGCTATAAAAGACATTGGATACAGGTGCTATGCAGATGTTTTTATAACTTGTTGTTCAGTCACCAAGTTATATTAGACTCTTTTTGACCCCATGGACTGCAGCATGCCAGGCCTCTCTGTCTCTCACCATCTCCCGGAGTTTGCCCAAGTTCTTGTCCATTGAATCAGTGATGCCATCCATAACTTAGGAGATATTATATACATTTCCTATCATCCCTTAATTTCTTATTACATATATTATATATATATATATGTCTTACTGCAAATATATATAACATTTTATCTGCTGAGTTTAGAACACACCACAAAAGGTTCCTTGCTTATAAGCTTCTGATCTCTCTGTTTACTTCAAGGACTGAGCGAATTACACATTTAAGACAGATTAAAGTATATAAAAACAAGTTAAAGAAAATTATATTATTAAATATTAATGCTGCATTATCTTATGAAGAGCATTGTATTGGAAACAAAACACTGGAACCAATTTTTCCCAGTCTAAGTAAAATTAAAATTATTTCCAAACTTTGGTTTCTTGAACCATTTATGATTATATTATGTTTTAGACTTTTAGTACTTATAGGCATATTTTAAATTTATTTATAGGTTATCATGTAGCATACATGGCATGCTAAGTTCTTCAGCTGTGTCTGACTCTTTGCGACCCTATGGACTATAGCCTCCAGGCTCCTCTGTCCATGGGATTCTCCAGGCAAGAATACTGGAGTGGGTTGCTATGCCCTCCTCCAGGTGATCTTCCCAACCCAGGGGTTGAACTTACATCTTGTATCTCCTGCATTGCGGGCAGGTTCTTTACCATTAGCACCGCCACAAAGCTGGAATGCTGCAACTAGGACTGTGAGTTTTTGTGCCATCTACCGGAGTATTTATTTGCCACTGTCTATATGTTATGCACTGGAAAGCTGAGATTCAAATGCATATCTCAGCTCTGATAGTCATTACTGTGTTTTGGGGATCAAGATAAGTCATTTTCTGTATTTCATCTGTGATTGGAGGTGGCTATAGATCCTCTACCTGATTGTTGTAAGGACTGAATGAAATAATAAGTAAAAGCTTTTGAATAATGCTTATCTCATGCCAAGTGCTTTCATTAAATGTATAGTTTGGGAATAGGAACCGAGGGAGGCAGAAACTTAGAGGATCATTGAGTCACGTACAGCTGCTGTATCATTTTAGCATTTTCCAGAATATTGCATTAATTAATACACCTGTATATGATTACATATGAGTTTTCACATGCATAAAAATATTTTAATGATGTAGTAAATATTATTGAGTTAGGCATTGAGTTGGCAGAAATGCAGACTTTACGATATTCTGTAACATCCTTATTTCCACTCAATGTAAACTCCCTTCTCTACCAAAATTGAAAAAGATGCATGCACCCAAATGTTCATTGAAGCTGTATTAACAATACCTAGGACATGGAAGCAACTGAGATGTCCATCGACAGATGAATGGATA